TATCCCAAATAATAGGCCGTATCCTTTGTTCCACGTTCCTTGAAGGACGAACCTTTACTTTAGAAGCTCCATGAATCTAACTTCAACTTTTAGGCCTTTAACAATTTAGAAGATGAAAACAATATTCAGAAAAATCAGAAGCTCATTTAAGAAAATTTGCATTTTAAATAACTAACTTCATCATTTGCAGTAAAGAAGTTTTTTCCGAAGCCGAATAGGCATTCATTTTGTGTTACCTATTTCCAAATAGGTAGTGATTTTCTGCACTAAAACATAAAATTTATCATTTTCTTATAACTAAATACACATTTATATTTAAAATAGTTGTCAAAGAATAAGAAATTTTTATCTTTTCATTAAATATCCTTTAAAGAAAATTAAAAAGTGAAACCAAATATAAAAAAATTTTGCAACAAGATTTTATAGAGATACAATATTAACTATTAAAGAATATTTGAATAAAATTAAGTGAAAATCAACTTCAATGAGATGACTATTCAATGGTTAAAAATTTGAAATTCTAAGTTGAAATCTCAAGATCGAGTCTTGAGTCAGGTAAAGAAAGATTTGAAAATAACGGAAAGTTATATTTTATTATATAGTCTATAATAAGATGTATTAAAAAAATTAAGTGAAAATCAATAGATATATTTTAATAAATTCTTACATAAATATCTAATTTTTCTAAAATTTTATTATACTACTTATATTTTAAAAAATGTAAAGACCTATTCAAAAATTTTTTGAAAGACCAGGGGGGCCGTGGCCCCCTCTGGTCTCCAAGTGGCTGCACCACTGGGTGGTGGTTTGTTTAGAATTGCAAAAGAAAGAGCAAGGATGTAAAAAATTTGGCAAGAAAAGAAACCTAACCAAACCAAATAGACCTCCGATAACTGCTCAAAACTCCCTCTAATCTACCCCTACCAATTTCTTAATTTTCTTCCAATAACAGCCCATCTATCCTAGTTGGCTCACTACACTTCCTTTGTGTATTTTGCCTTTTGCCCTTGAAATTGCTGTGTTTAGGGCTTCCGTTTCTAATTTCGTAAGTTAATTCTATGACACTCTCGTTCTTCTCATTTCTTTTCGGATGTCAGATCGTGTGTGGTTGGTAACCATTAGAAACCGATTGTGGTTGTAGTTTGTTTAGAACTGCAAAAGAAAAAGTGAAGGTGTAAAAAGTTGGAAACAAAAAAACCAAACGAACGTTTTAATTTCCTCTCGTTTCTCGATCCTTTATTTGTAACACAACGGTTGAGACTAAAAATCATGCAGTTCTCCAATTCAGGTGGTAATCCAATTGAATTTGAAGGTAGGTCTTTGAATTTGATACATGGGTTTCGAATTTTGATTACTGATCTTTGTCCTTGCTTTTAGTTTCCTTTTTGTTTTGTTTTGGATGGAGACAGATTCTTGTCGATGAAGAAGGTGTTGGTGGATTTCATTGAAGCAGCTAAGAAGGCGGTGGATTAGGCAGCGACTAACGACGTTTCGTCGAGCAGTCCCGAAGTTTCCCGATGCATTGATGTCTAACTATCTACACTAGGTGGTTATGTTCCTGTTAAGGTTAATTATTATATTTATATTAAGATTTACTCATAAATAAATATTTTATATTATGTTTATATAAAGTTTTAATTATTTATTTTTTATTTTTAATAATTAAAATTTATTATAATTTTTTTAAATAAAAAATAATTATTTTTAATAAATATTATAATAAAAATAATAAATATTAATTATTAAAAATATAAAAATAAATAATTAAAATTTTATATAAATGATATATAAATAATTTTTTTTAATATTTATGATAAAATTAGAAGATTTTAATTTTAGAAAGAAACCCTTAAGAAAAATCTAGATGAGTAACCGACTGGAGATTTCCTATGTCGGCCATTTTCACGTGATTGATTCGTCATTTTCACGTGAATCGTCATTTTATGAGGATGAGGTTGCACTCTTTCGAGATGCGTAAGAGTCTGTTTGGTGGGTTTGGCGCAGAGTTTTTGTTTTTTTTTTTTATTATTTATAAGTGTTAAATTTTAATTTTTATTAGAAAAAAA